TTATGTCGATGACATGTTGGTTGCCTCTACTTTCAGGTCAGCTATAGATGAGTTGAAAATTAAGCTTTCAAATGAGTTTGAGATGAAGGACTTGAGTGTGGCCAAACGCATTTTGGGAATAGAGATCGGCAGAGACAAGAAGAAGGGCAGAATTTGTTTGACACAGGTGGCTTAAGAAGTTTTTACAGCAATTTCATGTTAGCATGGATACGAAGCCAGTTAGTGTACCATTGGGAGCCCATTTAAAGCTTTCAGCTGGTCTTTCATCGAAGTCAGTTGAAGATCGAGAGTTGATGTCGGAGACTCCATATGCGAGCACGGTTGGGAGCTTGATGTATGTGATGGTATGTATGAGGTCGAATTTGTCACAGGCGGTGAGCATGGTTTTGAGATACATGCATGATCCATGAGTGGGTCATTAGGACGCCGTGAGATGGATTTTGAGGTACATTCGAGGTACGCTCAATATTAGTTTGGTTTATGAGCGGGACACTAAAGGTGGGCAGTTATGCACTGGTTATGTTGATTCGGATTATGTCGGGGATTTGGATAAGCGCCGGTCTACGACGAGGTATGTGTTTACTTTGACCCGTGCGCTGGTGTGTTGGAGATGCACCTTACAGTCGGCGGTGGCTTTGTCTACGACAGAGGCAGAGTATATGGAGATTACAGAGGCTGTGAAGGAGGCTATTTGGCTTTGACGACTTTTGGAGGAACTTGGTACATCGTAGCGTTCCATCACCATTCATTATGATAGCATGAGTGCTATCTATTTGGCAAAAAATCAGGTTTTTCATGCGAGAACGAAGCACATTGACGTTTATTATCACTTCGTTCAGGATGTTCTTGAAGATGGCGATGTGGAAATTGTGAAAGTCCACACAAAGGATAATCCGGCGGATATGCTCACTAAGGTGGTTCCGAGCAACAAATTTGATCATTGCAGAAACCTGTTGCATATTCGAAATTGTTGAGGCCGTTGGCGGCCATTTGGATGAACTACGAACGGCTTGATCCCTTGGGAGAAGGGGTACGTAGGTGTGACGCCCCTGGGTTCACACGAGGCTGCAGTCCTCGGTGAAACCAAGAATGTCAAACCTGCCATGCACCACACCGTGCAATAACATGTTTCACCATCACAATTAACATCTCTCTAGTAGAGTCAACAACAGGTGTAGGTACAAAAGCAAGTAATAGATAATGCAAGAGGTACTGATGAAATGAAAGAGATCAAAATGATATTTCATCATCCAACATATAGAAATACAAAGTCAATATCTGAAATGAATAAACTGGAGTTCTTATCAAATCTCAAATACAACAAGTCTGAGTAAAGGAAATAAGGCACACAGCCTTTACAACATCTAGAATAAAGTCCTCAAATATCTAAACAAAGTCTACAATGGAGCTCCATAAATAAAATAAAACTATGAAGGAAAGATGGATACTAATGTACATCGCCATCAACCTGCGACTCTCCGTGCACCTGACTCGTTACCTGAAATGGGAGGTACAACGAGCGTCAAAGCGCTAGCGAGCAACATCACAACCAACCCCAAGGGAGAGGGCTTGTTGTATACAGAAAGTACAGTTATTACATAATAGTTAAAATCATTATTCCTAGCAAATAATGGGTTTTAGTATTTAGGAAATTACAACACGAGCATAGGTACGTCGAGCGAAATAATCCAAACAAGGAAACCCTCATGTATATACCTTTTATCTCAAATTGTAAATCCCTAATCACCAAACCCAAAGTCTAATACATGAATAAAAAAAGCTAAAAGAAACAACTCATCTCAATACTTAATCAAAAGTCACGTCAAAACCATATAAGTGTCAAATGTCAATATCACATAAGTGTCGTGTCCAGTCTAGGTAGCTATCATGTCCAAATCTCATGTAATCAAGTTATGTCCTGATTTAGATGAGTGTCATACTTATAGCTTAACAAATGTCTAGCACGTGGTCTAATATGTAAATGTCCAACACGTGGTCTAATATGTAAATGTCCAACACGAGGACTGAAATAAATTGTAGCCCAACACGAGGACTTCAATGGATTATAGTCCAACACGAGGACTGAGTAAAGTGAAATGAATGTCCAACACGTCATACTTATAGCTTGAGTGTCCAACACGAGGACTAAAAAGTAATACATGTCCAACACGTGGTCTAATATGTAAATGTCCAACACGAGGACTGAAATAAATTGTAGCCCAACACGAGAACTTCAATGGATTATAGTCCAACACGAGGACTGAGTAAAGTGGATGTCCAACAAATGGACTATAAGTAAAGATGTGCAATTGTCAAAGGTATATGTGGAAAGATATACATATCCTAAACTCGCACGTGTCTCGATGTACGGGTCTAAACTTGTGTCAAAAGTGTCAACTCACATGAATAGACAAGTCACTATCATTGCAATGTAGTGTCAGATAATCGAGGCGACCCCTCGGACGTATAAAATGCACAACCAACACGAATATATGCACAAACAAAGCTGCGGTCGACCGCAGAGACCACTCCGGTCGACCGCGCATAGGGCAGAGACATTCTGCTCGACAGAACGCCCAGCGGTCGACCGCTTTTTCAGATCAGATCTCTTTAACCAAAATCGTTGGTGAGCATTTGAAAACTAAAATACTTGATTCTTACATCTCATATCATAAAGATCCATCTATCTACACAAAATAATGATTTAGGCTCAAGAAACTTATTGAAATCATTAGAAAACTCATAAAAACGTGGGTGAAGGGCTGGGGCGATGTCACTCGCCTGAGGGGGGTTGATGAACACCCAAAAACGATCCTCCTTCAATCTGAATCGCGAAACCCCACCGAAATCCTTCGAAACGCCCTAAAAATGCCAAAATCCGAGCTAGGGTTTTAGAGGAGAGAGAAGGGGGGCTGAGGCTATTAGGGTTTGAAAGAGGGTTCTGAGAGCTTCAAAACGAGTATATATAAGTGGGGTAACAACCGGGTTTGGTATAAACAAAACCTGACCCGAAACTGAACTGGCAGAACCAGGTTCGCTGCGCGGTCGACCGCAGCGACCACGGCGGTCGACTGCGCAGGGTTCTGGGCCATACTTAGACTGGGGTTCGGTAAAAAGGTTGTAACTTTCTCATATGATCTCGGAATGAGGTGATTTAAGATTCGTTGGAAAGCTATGAAGAGATCTACAACTTTGGTCTTATACACTTTTCCAGATTCTAATTGAATCAGTGTGCAAAACATAGAAACTCTCAACTGGTCAAAATTCTCAGATTCTCACTATTTTCCTTTGTGCATGTTTTGTGTATTTACACTCATATATTCACAAATATACATTGAATTGATCTCAAATCAATTCCTATCATACTCAAATATCAAAATACATTATTTTCATTATATAACATATTTATAATTATTTATCACACTATATTCAAATTTTCGGGGTTTTACAGTAGGTAACCATTTTGGTGCAGCCGTGTTTGGAGAAACGACGCATTGGTGCTCTTTGTTTGGTGTCGGCTCAGTTTTGGGCAAATTTCGCCGATGTGGAGAATTGTGGAGAAATCAGGAAAAATTCAGTTTTTCTGTCATAAGTCGACTCATGCACAAGCCTAAGTCGACTTATGGTAAGTCGACTTGTGTCTGTGCATGAATTGACTTACGTCATGCTCTGGAGTTGTGATTTTTTCGCTCTGTCAAGTCGACTTGTGAAGCCTGTAAGTCGACTTACGATTTGTCCTCCAATTGCTGTTTTTCTCTCTGCCAAGTCGACTTGTGAACTCTATTAAGTCGACTTACGACGAGTTTTTTGCACAGTTTGGTTTCCTGTTTGGATTCTGTTTGGATTTCTGTTTGGATATAAATAGGGACACGATTTTCTAGGGTTGAAGAGAAGAGTTATCAGAGACTTTGAGAGGCAATTGAGCATTGTGAGAGGGAGATATTGTGAGCAAGTTGAGAGCTTTGGTTGAGGGTTAGTTTGAGTGATTTTGTGTGATTAGATTGTGCTTGTGTGTGATTCTCTTCTTCTCCGTGATCATAGATTCGTTCGGTGTAACTGCACGCTTCCGCATAGGCACGCGACATGATTTATGCTATATAATTTAATAAAACAATGTTCTAGAAAATGCAACACAAGTCATTCCTAGGATACTTTTTTTTCTAATTAGTGAAAAGGAAAAGGTTAGCGTTAATTACAAAAAACCCCAACGAAGTTATAGTAAATGACTATCAATTTTTTTTATTGCACTAAACCCTGTTTAACTTTTGGATAATTGTACATGACCTTCGTGAAGTATTTTATTTCACTAATCTCTAAATTAGCACCATTGTTTCTAACATCTTATGTGGCAAGCATATGAAAAAAAAGATAAAAATAATTCCTTAATCCCAAAAAGTTACTTATTTTTTCTTTTTAATAAAAGAAATGTTTTTTGGGAAGCATGTGCAAAAAATTAGCATAATCGGTTCTAACATCTTATGTGGTAAACATGTGCAAAAAAAGACAAAAATAATTTCTTAATCCCAAAAAGTTACTTATTTTTTCTTTTTAATAAAAGAAAAAAAATAACCTTTTGAGATTAAGGAATTATTTTGCACATGAAAATTTCTCATCTAATCTCTAAATTAGCATCATCGGTTCTAACATCTTATGTGGCAAGCATGTGCAAAAAAAAGACAAAAATAATTCCTTAATCCCAAAAAGTTACTTATTTTTTCTTTTAATAAAAAATAAATTTTGGGACTAAAGATGAATTTTTTTTGTCATGTGCTTACTGATGACATGATAGAGTTGATTGTGCTAAAATACGAATTAATAGATAAATTTTCAAATGAGATTTAGTAGAATAAAACAATTCATGTGGATATCCATT